ATGAGAGGTTAGTTTTTGCCGCCTCTCTTTGATCAAATTTAGGTCGAGCTTGTAGCGAGGGACATCGTCCCGGGGGGCAACCGCCATAGAAGCAATCTCGTCGTTAGATTTTGTGTCGACTTATTCATTGCTGGAAGAAGAGGAGCCATCGGAAGAATCCTCCGCCGCCGCATTAGCACTCGTCGTCGCTTTATTGGCTGAATCAGCAAAAGGAACGGCTATGGCATTCACGGCGGTAGCATCATGAACGTCCCCTTGGGAGGCCAATTCCGAAACAGGGGAGCACGGTCGAGAAGACATAATGACCAAAACCGAGAGTAGGAAAAACGAGGAAGGGGCGGAAAGTACTTGAACACACGAAAAGCTTGGGAGTCCTAGAGGGAAGGCAGGGTAATGCACGAAGGAAATGAGAATTAAAAACCCATAACCAAGGAACTCAAGGCCTATTTATAGCCTGACAAGCGCCGATTCACAAACCAATCTGAGTAAGACACGACTCCAAGAGCAGGGAAGGGGACGCGTGTCACCCAGAGGAAAATTGACCAACAATCATGACGGTTATGGAAAACTGAAACGACAGCAGCGAGTGGGCCGTAAAATCAGGACATCGGGAACCGGCAAAATCCTATACACGATTGCCGAACGGCATACAACCAAATTATTTTACTTCTTTATGCCCTAACTATCGTTCGAGACATCAGAAGTGGGGGACTCATGTTGGGATATTGGGCCAAAATCCCAAAATACTAGGCCCATTAGTCAACAAGGATACAGATGAAGAATAGGCCCAGTAACTAGTCATACCGAACGGGATCCTGGGAACCATGAAGGATTATTCCCTGAACGGGGATCAAGTCATGCAGGTAACTTGGATTAGATTAATAAATGATATCAGCATGAGCTTCGTTCTGAAGCCCGAACGGGCAGCCTGCAAGTGGCATGAGGCATTTAATGCTAGGGTATGACGTCAACAAGTGGGAGTATGAGCATCCAAGTGGCTCGAGAACGGCAGCAAGTCAGATTCAACCACAACATCACCCCCATCCCCCTTTATTAGTATAAATAGGGGCTCTAATCTCATTGTAAAGGGTTAGCATTTTGATACTCAAAGCCTAGAATAGTTTTATGACTTTCGTTCTTGTTCTGGTATTAATCACTGCTCCGACTTACCGTTCGGTAACTTTCCTGTGCAACCAGCGAATTGTTTAATACAAGTGGGTTTTGAGCATAATACATTGAGCTTTTATATTTTCTTTGATCTTGAACCTATTTTCCACATCCTTAATATCCAAAACGTGTGTTGGGCTTTAGGATCTGCAGGACTAAACCTCAACAACATCCATAATTTTTTAAATTTTTTTATGGATTTTTACTATTTTTTATTAATTCTTTAAAATAAAAAAATTAAAAAAAAATTATTTTTATTTTATAAATATTTTATTATTTTTATTTTTTATTTTCTACCATTTTTTATTATTTTTTACGAATGTATATGTATTAAAACATTTAATAATGAGTTTTGACTACCTTTTACTTATATTTAAAGGAGGGGTAAGAATGGAATGAAAAAATAGGTATGTTTCCAATAGGACTAATATGTTCCTATTTTGGAATAAAAACATAAGAAGTGCTATTTTGGGTTTTTGCCATAGTTTTAGTCCTATTTTGAGCAATTTCCGTTTAATTTAGTAATAATCATGGAGGAAGGCCATAAATTATTGAAAAACATTGGATCAAAATAGATAAAAAAACACAGTTTTTTCAATATTTTATTTAAGTGATTCCGTGATTGAATTTTAAACTGAAATTTTGTGAACATAATCTACACTTTATGAAGAACTTGTTCACAAAATTTAATTAAAAACTTCCACTTGGAAGCACCTCAAATTGAGATGGCCAGACGACATTGTGTATACATAATTACATATATACCGTGGTACCGGTATACCATGCGCATGTTATATCAGTACCAAATACGGTACCGTTTCTCTCCCTCTCGGAGCACTAAAGACTTTCTTTTCCCATAAGCCATTACATTTTCTCCCATCCTAGGAACACTACCAATCCTTTACTTTCTTTTCCCTCAAGCCCTCCAATATTCTTTGACTTTATTTTTTTCTATTTTCTTCAATTCTTTCCCCCTCTTCACCAAAAACTAATAAAATTACAATTGAATTAATTTTTTTCTTTACCAATTTATTACAAAAATTTATTAATCACATAAAATAAGTATATTGTATTTCATAATTGTATACTAATATGATTACTTTGTTTTTTCAACTGAAATTACTACCAAATTTATTTTTTTGTGTAATAATTTTGTTTTACATTTATACACTTTTTTGGTAAATATTTTTCATATTCATACACTGTTTGTTATAATATATTTCTTATCTCGTTTATATGTTTGTAATATTTTTAAGACACAAGTTTGTTTATTTCAATTTAAATTTAATAAAACATGAGATTACATTTTTCATATGTGTGACTGTGTGAGTTATGTTTACAGACACATTCTGAAGTTACATTTGATAGTATATGGAGTTACATCTTCTTGTGCGTGAGTTACATCTTTTTATGAATGAGTTACATCTTCCTGTATGCGAGTTACATTTGGACGTGGCTCAACAAGTTACATTTTACATATATCTAGCTAAGTTAAATTTTCCATCAAAGAGAGCTACATTTTTTCATAACATGAGTTACATCACAAAATAAACTCTTGTTGTTGAAACAAAAAAAAAATCAAAAAAATGACAAAAAAAGATTTCAACAAGAGTAAAGTAACTGAGTAGTTAGACTCATTGTTTTCATTGTTTACATTTGATAGTATATGAAGTTACATCTTGTTATGTACGAGTTACATGTTTTTTGGCGTGAATTACATCTTCTTATGTGCAAGTTACATTTGGACTCATTTCAACAAGTTACATATGACATACACCTAAGTTAAATTTTTCATTAATACGAGTTACATTTTCCATAACACGAATTACATCACAAAATAAACCCCTCCTACTGAAATTAAAAAAATGATTTTTTGGCAAAAAAATGATTTTTTTTGGCAAAAAATTGATTTTTAATTTTTTTTACCTTAATATGAAAACAAAACATATTCACTATTTACGTAAAGTAATTGAGCAATTAGATGATTCTTTCTTTATTTACATACTCATCCGCGTGATTCGGTGTGAACAGTGATACACGTTTTTGCCCGTGGGAGCATCATGCTCACGGTGGGCTGATCCCACGATATACGAACTTGATATGATGAATGGAGATGAATAAGGAGTGCTGCATTGCGTATATAATTTAATTTATTTACCTGGTGTTTTGGAAGAGTGCAGCAACCGCACAAATTAAATTCCTTTACACTATCCCCTTGCTTAAAAACAAAGGAAATTAATTGCTAAAAACAAAGGAAATTAATTACTTGCTTAATTAATAAAATAGCCAAAGAAAACAGAAATAAGATGGAACAGAAAAGTCAGAGCTTGTGCGACACACAATGTCCTTAAAACATGTGTGTTGCCTCCCACTGTGCTAGGAGCGTTTCAACGATAGTTTCCCAGGATACGGTGGCTAGGAACAACCGTTTGAGCACACAATCGGTTGTTCCGGTGAACAGGAAAAAAGTAGAACATGAAGCAATTTTTCAGGGAACTGGAGGTGTATTTAGCTGAAGAAATACGTGCAAATTGTATTCAGTTTCGTATGTTGTTGCAAATCACCTGTCAACTATATATAGGGACGGATTTGTTGAGTGTTAACTGACCTTTAATGGACCTGAACGTTGTACACAAATGACCAGAACGTTGGGCATTAATATGTCGAAAATTGTCCATTTAAAGACGCATTAAAAGACAAGAACGTTGGGCATTTAAGGCAGTGAAGGTTCAAGTGCGCGACCAGAACAGAACTGCTTCTGGTGCGCAACCAGAACAGAACCACTGTTGGTTCGACCAAAACAGAAGCCGCTGTTGGTGTGACCAGAGCAGAAGGGCTCTTCTGGTGCGACCAGAACGGAAACGCACTTCTGCCAGCCCATGGAAAAAATTGGAACGTTACGGGAAGAAACAAAAGATTAAATCATGTCTTTATAAGATAGACTTTTGGACGACATTCGTATCTGCAGGTCGCCCGCGCACGCAAGTCGCGGTTTTTCTTCTCCGTTTTCAGGATTTGATCGACACCCCCCCCGACGCGTGAAGAGAGCATTTTCACCTAGGAATCTTAAATCCTTCAAAGAGGGTCACCTTTATAAGGGGGTAAAAACCCATTGGGTTTTTGGTGTGAACTTCGAGGATCAATTTCTCATTCACTAGTTATCCGTTTGGAGTGTATCACATATCGAATTGTATCCCTTAACAAGTGGAATCCGAAACTACTTTGACCTGACCCAAATCGGAAGTGGACCTCACTAAAATTACTCCCAAATCGACCAATTAATGGACTTTTAAAACAATTTTTCAACACCGTCCAATCTAACACATGCACTGGAGTGTAACTCATGGTACACCCTTCAGTGGTAATTCTGACACCTGTCACAATACATCGAAACCATCTAGACTCTTGTGTGGCTCTTGCACATCCGTAAGAATACGTCGAATCCGGTTAAAAATTTATTCGCCTGTCAGTCTCTGGGGTGAAGGGTCTCGTACCACTCTTCCCTTCACGAAAGATTTTGTGTCCTTTCGATATCGATGATTTGCCGGGAGAAACTTGCGGTGACAATCAAAGTACACTACTAGAAAACTGACTTATAATGACGCTTTTATAGTGACATTTTTTACAATTAGTGTCACTGTCAGATGCATTACCTAAATTTAACATAAAAGTATCATTAACTCATGACACTATAAATGTGGTAACAGATGAAAAATGTGAACTATTACCACACTTTTGGCTAAAACTTTTTAATTTCCTCCACTATTTTTCATCCATTTTTTTTCCCTCCCCATTTTTCGCTCCACATTTTCGTGCTCCGCCACAACATTACACTTTCTTTCCTATGCTTAAATTTTTTATTTCTTGGTACAACTATAAGCCCACTACGTATATACACTTCTCCTCTGCGACTCAGATTGAGCTTAGTAAAAATCCTAGGCCGCAGCGTTTGAACTGATACCAAACGGATCAAGCTCCCTCGACACATTGCATGCTTTCCTCGTCCTCGCAAACCACAGAGATTCATCAGCGATGAGCCGATGACTCTAGGTTTAGGGCACACCGGCCAACTCGAGAAGAGAAGGTATTAATCAGTCATTATCTCTGCATTTCTTCGATTTTTTACTTGAATGTACTTATCTTCTACCATATCACCCTCACCTTGTTAAATTTATGCTGAAATTGAGGATTTTGTAGTTTATTTTGATTTTTGGGCACTGTTCTTGTTCTTAATTTCTACGTTTTCATATGTACTGTACTGTCTGGATGCACCAATTTGGTTGTCTTGTCCTCACTATACCAGAGAGATTCATCGGCGACGAAGCTAGGTTTAGGGAACACCGGCCAACTCGAGATTAAGGTATTAAGCAACCATCTATGCGTTTCTTCGTTTTTTGCTTGAATGTACTTAATTTCAACCATTTCACCTTCACCATGTTAATTTTCTGCCGAAATTGAGGATCTGTCGTTTATTTTGATTTTCTAACAATGTTCTTGTTATTAATTTCTAGACTGTTCGAATGCATCAATTTTTCTGGGTCCAGTTTGAATCCTTTTTTGTTTTATCTGAATGTTTCTGCAAAAATCCATTAGTGATAAAAGATTCTGAAATATGCATTTAGAAATTGGTCCGGATGCACCAATCTGCTTATTATCATTATTTTCATCGTATGAAAAGATTCATGCGTATGCATGTGTAGTAGTCCTACGTTGGCATATACGTTGGCATATACGTGGAGCATTTATGTAAAGCATGTAAGGAGTAACTGATAATTAGAGATGACTTGCTCTAATGGAAAAAAGAGATTTTGTTATTCGAGTTCTGTAATTCAGGATTTCATGTTGAGTTTTGAGTATTAAAGGGTTTTTGTTGTTGTTTACACAACCTTTTAATTTTAAGGTTTTTTTCATATTAACTGTATTATAGTATGTATTTAGTAATAAAACATTCTTAAATTTACATTTAGAAATTGGTCTGGATGCACCAATCTGCATGACTTTGATTGTTTTCCTCGTATGAAAAGATTCATTTGCATTCATGTGTTCTAGTCGTATGTTGGCATATCTCTGAAGCATTTATGTAAAGCATGTAAGGAGTAACTGATAATCTGAGATCACTTACTCTAATGGAATAAAGAGATTTTGTTATTCCAGTTCTGTAATTCAGGATCTCGTGTTCACAATCGCTCTAGCCTGCGTCCTCTCGAGTTCCAATCATGACTTGCTTCTGCCTCTAGTCTCACGAGTTCTGATCGTTCCACCAAGCAATCGGCACCAACCTCCACCCCTCTAGAATCCATATCTAAGCTCCTCCTATTCACCAAGAATCGGTCCACCACCTGCATCACCACCTCCAATGCAGAGCTCCACTCATGAAGATAGAGATGCATGTGAAACACTCTAATTAACCAGTCATGAGGATAGGTCAAGCTGGAATATGCAAAGGCTGAATTATCTTTTTTCAGCAGAGGAGAGGTAATCTACTCTCAACATTGCTCTATCTCGGAGACCTGTGCCAGATGGATTTTGGTGGACCGGTGATTCACAGGGTGCCTACACGGGCAAAAGTGGTTATATACTTTTGCAAGGGGAACAACAAAATAGTGGTTGGGTGGGGTGGACCAAGATGTGGAATCTTTCTATCCAACCAAAAATTAAACACTTCTTTTGGCAGGCGATGACATAAGTCCTTCCAACTGCAGACGCGCTTCGTAGAAAGCATGTGGCGGTTCTGACCGAATGCAAATTCTTCTCTACTCAAGAGGAGTCACTTATTCATATTTTTAAAAATTACAGGTTTGTAGGAGATGTGCTCAAAAAATTGGGTAGCTAGTTTCAATAGCAAGGGGAGGATTTCATGGTATGGATGCAATGAAATTTTGACAACCTGAGTGAGGATGACTTTGCATTTTGATAGTGACACTGGAGTATTTGGAAATCAAGAAATTTACTAGTTTGGAACGGTACTCAAACAAGTGATGATCAAGTCATATTAGTGGGAGCGGCTATGCTGTGAGGATGGTGGGCTGCTCAAGGTCAGACGAAATCAACACACAAGAATGTGTGCATACCAGCTAGGTGGCAACGTCCCCGGCCAGGCTTTCTTCAAAGTAAATGTGGACGGCGCTCTGGACTTCGGACAAGGTGAGCGGGCATGGGGGTGGATTATCCCGGATGGTTCTGGAAATTTTGTGAGTGTAGGTAGTGTTAATTGTACGACGGATTGGCCGGTTCATGTTACAGAGGCATTCGGCCTTAGAGAACTATTTTCATGGGCAAAAGCGCAGAGATGGAACAAAGTTGAGGTGGAGACAGATGCTTCTCTCATCACCTCAAGACTTGAAGATGACTCAGGAGAATCTTACTTTGATCTCATTATTGATGATATTAGACATATGCCTCATGGTGAGGCTAACATGTCCATTATTCCGTGTAAACAATCCTCGAATCGGGTTGCTCACACTCTAGCGAGAGCTGCTCTTTCTAAAGCGGATGACAATCGGGTTGCTCACATTCTTGTATTTCCAGCAGTCTGGGGAATGATATGTTATCTTAATAAAGTTGCCGTTTTCCTTCAAAAAAAAAATGCAATATTTTCAAATGAAAACAAAACAAAACAAATCATTTAAATAAACATTAAATGAATTGAATAACTGCAATAGTGCAATATAAATATAGAATACTCTCCATAGTTTTTGTCACCCGAAAATTAAATGGTGTACATTCTGATAGGCCAAGAGTAAGGTGAATTAATCAAATTAAACAAAGATGATTGTGGCTAATATAGGGGCCGGGGAAAGAAACTATATATCCTTTCAGTCTGATTTGGTTAATTAACCATACAAAGATACAACGGGACTTGACACGAACAGATAAAAGCATACATTAAACGTTCAAGATTGACTTAATTGACAATTGTAGAGTACTCCCTCCTGTCCTTAACGAAGTTTACACTTTGACTTCACACATATTAAAGAAATAAATTTGACTTTATTATAAAGTACATTGTTTGACACTGTTTGACACTATTTGATACTGTTTGGTATAGATTTGTTTGTCAAATAAGGCAAATAATTAAGGAAGTGTAAAGTTTAATATGGGACGACCCAAAATGAAAAGTGTAAAGTTAATTAAGGACGGGAAAGTTGAACGCCTCAATGTGATGATGAATTTAGAATGTTCAAGTAGTATCCAAGCGAAGGGAGAAGGCTCCCCATGCAAAAAAATCCGCCCGCAGCGATTGACCCGTAATCATGGCTCTGACGTGCAACCACAAGGAAACCACACCCAACAAAGGCACAGCCGCTACACACATTGCATATAATTTAGAGATAAACAAAAGATGTAAAAATGAAGCTATTGATTAAGTTTTCCCTCAGCTCTATAAAAATATATATATTAGGTTTCAGTTTTTCACGATACGTAGCAGAAAACATTCTAAAGAATGTATAGGCATATGGCTGGCTAATTAATATCATACGGAGTATCACGTAACAACTAAGCTAAGTAATCAATTCTCTGGCGTGTGGAGCACTACCTCAAAGCGTGAATCTTCTACTACTAGAACAATAAGTTTAGTCAAGTGACGGAATACATGCATCTCATAGTATAGAATTAATCGTTATGGTTTTTGTTTGTAATTTTAAAAAGTTTTATTTATTGATGTTTGGGAAGTTAAACACTTTTGGTGTAATACTTTATTTTTCCTAGTTGTTTGTAATTTTTTTAGATTAGGATTATTCTGAGCTTAAACCAGGTAAAGATTATGGGTGGGCACGGTCATGGACGGAACGGGAATTGGGTTGTCTCGGTACTGAACCCGATTTATAATAATGGTTCGGAACGGGATGAGACAAGACGTTGTCCTTTTGTTGTCCCATTTAAACCGGTACCGGGACAAAACAGGACGGTTCGGGACATCCCAAAAAATTGTAGTTAAAAGATTGCAATCCCAAAAATAAAACAAATATAATTGGGGGAAAAAACTAGCGCAAAAAAACTCTATGCAAAAAAAATGCACCTAATCTAGAAAATTGTGAAAAAACAACTAACCAGATTAGCTGCAAGAAATAAAACGGTTCGGGACCGGTACAGGACAAAAATAATGTGTCCCAAATATAATGGGGCAATTTCGAAATGAAACCGCAACATTGTGGAACGGACCAATGAGACCGGGTCTTTTGCCCACCCCTAGTAAAGATCATCAAAAGAATCTTTGGAAGGTAAAAGAAAGTGCAAGAGAACAAAATAAATTGATGATTTGGAAAATTAGTCATATACCTAATCAGGTATAGGATATACCCGATCGGGTATTTACTTGATTCGAGTGTCGAAATCAAACCGGGGAACAAATGATCATGAGAGCAATATTTGTGAAGATTTGTCTTTTACCCGATCGGGTATCCTATATACACGATCGGATATTTCACCCAACCTCACCAAAACACCAATAATACACTCCTTCTCTTTCCCATTTTGATATCCCTTCTTCCATATACTTAACTCAACATAGAATAGTACTAGCATTTTCTTTATATTTTTTCTACCATTGTTAAACAATGCCAGAAAATCTTAACCTATTTAATATTAAAAGTAAAATGCATATATAAATGATACTTGAACTATCATCATCATCATCATCATATCATTTTATTTCTCGAACCATTAAATCTATCATTTTAGTCTTTAACCTATTTAATCTATATTAATCGAGTCCATCCATTAAAGTTTGCCGTTTACATTGACGCTAGCTAATTTATACACATCCCACAATTTTAAACATTTTAGAACAATACCATTATTGTTAGAACTTAAGTAGCTAATTTAGTTTTTTTTAAGAATATACATATATATACATATATATACACACATATATACATATATATACACACATGCACACACATACAAATTATAAACAAACAATTAAGTAAATAATATATAACCAAATGTATGGCTTAAATAATACTCCCTGTTAGTACATAGGGTAATTTTCTCTTAATATAATCAATAACAATAACAACCATCCCCGTTCTCTTATTTAATTTTATCTGCTCATAGTAGATGCTTCCAGTGGCTTGTCCCCCTCCTGAACCACCACCATGGAGTGCACGAGAGTCTAGGATTTGGAAGAAGATGAGTGAACTATGTTTTACTAACGTTTTATTTAGTTTGTGTTTTTATTTCAAACTACATGTTGTTTTGCGTGTGTTTTATTTCTTAGCAGAATAACTCAAGAATTTAAGTCAGGTGATGAGAAGTCTGGTTTTCATGTCCTTGGCTCAGTTAAGCCCATTATAGGATCAATGAAACTTATTGCTTCTACGGAGGTGATAGTTTCTAAGTGTGGTTCGAAGGCAGACAACAGACAGAAGAATTTTTGTCATTTTGTAACTTGCTTAAGTTCTATTATTTTAATATAATCCATATTCTTCCAAAAAAAAATATTTTATCTGCTCATATGTATATAATTGGGTAACTTGATTCTCTCTTATGTATTATTTAATCCATACATTTTGTTTTATATTATTTATTAATACTTTTTATATGTGTATGTATGTGTATATTTAAAAAAACTAGATTAGCTACTTAAATTTCAAGAATAATTGTATTGTTCTACCGTCAATTTAAACTATTTTTGCGTTCAATTTTACACGTATGTGACCATGACGTCATACTTGTAATATTTTCCCATACCACCAACATATTTTGTTCATCTACAGTGTTTTTTACTTTATCTACAGTGCACCTATATTTCTTCTTAAACTACTCAAACAGTCTAATGGATCGTCTAAATAGATACGGAGCGAGTATAACTTATTTACTTGTAATCCATCTTTTATAAAAAATATATATCAAAATTCATAATTTTTTACTTTCATATGACACCAATATTACATATAAAGGTTAAAAATTGAAAATATGTTTTTTTTTATCAATTGGAGATTTTTATGTTCAATATTTTTGTTAAATTGCTAAATTTAAGACTTCATGGGTAAAATAATTTTTACATCTTTGAGATATTTTTTTTCAAAAGTAAGTATAAATTAACAACAAAAAATTAAACTTCAAATTATTATCTTTACATCGAAATGTTTGACTTTTAAAATCATAATATTTGCAAAAATATTGAGAAAAAATTAATGTATAATAATAAAAATAGAAATTGCTCTAAATAGGAGCAAAAACGTTTTGAAATTCCAAAATAGGAGTATCATATTTTTTATTACCTGAATAGGAGTAATCTGTCAAGTTTGAGAAAAAAATGCCATGTTTTAAAGCCATGTAATGCCAAACTTGGCAGAAATTTACTCCTATTTAATGAATAAAAAACATACTCCTATTTTGGAATTTCAAAACTTTTCTACTCCTATTTAGAGAATTCTCTCTAATAAAAACAAGGTTTTAATTAGGAAAAACTTTGATATTTGAATATTTTGACAACGTTGGATTACATTAAAAAAAATAGACTGACTAAATACGTATAAACCGAAATTAAATTTATTGACATACCATGACATTAAATAATACATGACAGCCAGTCTGCAGCAACATATTTCGCAGAAGCAATCATCTCTCCTAACGGGGTCTGTAAGAGGACAGAAGGCGTCCTTGTGGTAACAAGCGTAGGTTCCAAGAACCACAAAAGCTGAAACGGCAATGACACAAGCGGCTGTTGCTATGAACCAAAGCCCAAAGCCTCCCTGCATTGCAGCAAGATTAGGGTGGAATTTTAGAAACTCGATTGGATTGAAGAGTAATTTTATTAAACTTAATAAACATTAACGGGTTAACTAAATATATATTACGTATGAAAAATGAAAAAGTTTATCTTGAAAAAATGAAATATACTCTGTCAATAAAATCTCCCAACCTCTAGCTCACTATAGCCCTTATACCGTTTTTTTTAAAGAGCCCTTATACCGTTATTTGCGTGTATTTGCGCGCGCATCAATTCCCCAATTATATCCATATATACTCCCTCGTCTCGAAAATATTCACCAAATTAACTCTTCTTGATTATTGACTACCAACTTTGATCAATTATATTTTGGGGTATCCATTTAAAAAATGGGGGTAACATACCTACATTGCATTTGATTGGTCCAAATCATTAAATCCCTTTTAATTTAGATTTAAATAATTCAACTGCATGATTCTGATTGGTCCTTGTGGACAAAGATACGGTACCTTATGGGTACCATAGAATCTACCTTATATTTTATTAATATGAAATTATTTTGAATATGAGGATCATATCAAAATGTTCCTAATTCAAATATTTTCATAAATATACAATATTTATAAATTGTATACATATATAATAAAGAGTAATTAAAAGCATCGTTCAAAGTATGTCATCATTGATTAAGAAGCCAATATGACGAACTTTTCAAACGGAAGTAGTATGCATCCATATGTGTGTGTATAACACATGCATATAGATAGCTAAATGATGGAATATAGTCGTATATACGTACTTTTATATGGAGTATATAAAAGATGAATAATGAGTACGTACGTATGTAGCTGCATATATATATACTTCGTATTTAACTGAACTT